GTAAGATAAAAGTAGGCTCTGAAATGGGGAATCTTTGCAGAAGGCAAGGTGTTGGTTCATGCATTGGGTTCTTGTCACTGCCTATTTCGTATTGGTATTAGGTCCTGGATCTACAGGTTACTGCTTCCGTTCGTGTGTGCTTTCGACTCGGCTTGGATTCCCATGAGTGCTGACTTATCCCTTCCATGACTTCGGACCGGTTTGACTAAGATGCTGACTACGTGGACTTTGGAACTACGCTACTTTGAATTCGGTTTACTTCGACCTCGGACTTCGTTTGACTACGCTTTCTTCCCTGCAGCCCTTTTGTTTGTTAACTGTTTACTTGCTGTGCTATTTTGGGGGACTCTCGGAGCGCTTTGATATAATCCGGTTCTTTTCTCCGGATAATCCGGATTATTGCTTTAGTTATCTCTTTTGAACCAGGACTGGTTTCTGCTTTTGAGTTTGGCCAGAGACACTGAGTTAAGTGTCTCTGAGTCCTTTTTTCCATGCTTAATAAACTTTACTTTGGAACTAATTCTGAGTCTGGCCTTTAAGGCATCTGTGTCCCAACAACTGCTATGCGGCAGGTACTGGCTAGCTCAGTAGACTCTCCTCTACAATTCCATTTTGGCGGGAAGACTTAGCATTGAACGGTTGTGTTGTTAAAGTGTGAAGTATGGAACCCTGAGCAGATGGTCGGTCAATGCGGCTTAAGCAACGTGCAGCCATTGAATTCTTGACAGCAGAAGGTGTCATCCCAAAGGAGATTCATCAGAGAATGCAAGCTGTTTATGGTGATTGTGCTGATGTGAGTATTGTGCATCTTTGGGTGAAGTTTCAAGCATAAACAGCATTTCATTGCTTGGCTATAGGAAGATTCGTGCACAATGGGTTGCGGAAACAGAGTGTCAACTTCTTCTGTGACGGCTTCAGAAAACTTGTTCATCGTTGGCAGAAATGTATCCAATTGTCTGGTGATTATGTCAAAAAGTGAATAGTGGTAGTTAAAGAGCACATTCTAAGGAGTATTTCTGCATTTGATTTATTAAAATATTCCCATCCAAACCCAAGTAACGAAGGTGGAGGCATTACTTTTCATTCAACCCTCGTATTTTCCTTCTCTTCCAATAGAGGAACCAACTTGCGCTGGTTGCAATTTACGGATTAGAACGCAATGAACTTTAAAATGAGTTAAAGCTACTCAAACCCTTCGCATGGAAAAAGAGGACAAAATAATGAGACATAACAAAATGTCTAGCAGACAATATATTAGATTACACTGTTCTACAAATTTTCAGTTTTTCTCAGTTGCGGAAACGAAATGTGCCATTTCTTAATAAATTTAACATGCTGAATTCAAATATAAGAATTAAATGTGTTAATTGGCTCTGGTTTTTATGCAACAGCTATTTCAATTTTCTCCACAATAGGTAATTCGTTAATATTATGATAATGCGCCTAACCTTACTGCATGTATATAAACCGTGAATATTTACTAAATTTTAGTCAAATTATATTGCCAATAGTTTATACATGAGAAATATTTATTTAATTAGTCTATTGTTTATGTTTGTGCAGCAAGAAACTATATTAGTAGGCCTAATGCAGTTGAAAAGTCTGAAAGTTTAAATGTCGCTTTAATCGTGACTTTAGTTTTTATCCTGTTTGCTTCTCTTGACTTTTCTTTTGTATTCAAGGAAAGGATTCCCTCTTACAATGCTCCAGCAGTAGTCTGACAGCATTGACGGAGTCCATTGGCCTTGATATCTTTTTTCCATAGTGCTTTATTTACACACGTGCGAGGCATAACTACAGTAAAAAGAACAATGTAAAACGATGTTTAACGATACTGTCTCAGTCTCAACTGACTGACCCTCACCGTTCAAAAGTCTGGCCTTATATAGGGCTTTCTGGCTTTTGCACACGGCACTAATACTGCGTCATCAAACTTTCTAGAATATTCTAGAATCTTCCATAGTGTAAGTCGCAACATGCATTTTTTCAACCATACGTGATCACGTGATTGCTTATATCATAAAAACTAGAGCCAATATACATTTTTAAATGTCATTTTCGTTTTCAGCACCCCAAAATCATAAAAGAACAACTATTTTCAGGCCCGCAACTTTTTCTCCGTTGAACAGTGTTATCTGCCCCAAAACTTCAAACTGAGCTAGGTGTGGTGACATCGATGTCCAAGCAGTCTCCCTGTTTTCCTCTCTCGTACAGAGAGAAATCCGAGAAATCCCCAATGGCCCTTGGCTGTACGCTTGGATAACAACGCCAATTAATATCTTTGGTTTATATTGCCCTTTGCCCATATACTCACATCCAGTGGGGGAAAAAAATCAGAAACGATGCTGGAAGAGCCATTAAGAAATACATGTGTGTTGAGATGTTGAGGTTCAGCCTGATCCTGATCTGTGTGAACAGGATTCTCTGATAGTTTTTCCAACTGAGCAAGCTCTCCCTGACTCTGACAGTGTGAAATCTGTTGTTGATGCAGAGGTCAGTGGGGATGAAAACGAAACCCAACAGCTGGAAGAGAATGTTTTGGAAGTTAGCCGTGATATCTCTCCACCTGGGGTTTCTAATGAGGACCGAAGAGAACAGATAGTCAGAGATAGAAATGTTTCCCAGTTTCTACGAAGGTCACAGCGCTTACAGCAGAAAGAGGCCCAGACAGAAAAGTCAAGGGGCGTTTCTAAGAATAGCTTCTTTGGTTTAAGAGGGTTCCTGCCGGGTGCTTCTTTAGGTCAAGCAACGTTGGACTGTGGCTGGTCTTGGCAGAATTCCTGTGTTCCATGGCCAGTAATCCCAGAGGCTTCTATTTCCAAGTTCATGGTTAGTAAAAGGCTAACAGACTCCTGGTTATTGTTTTGTGGCTTTTGAAGTTTTGCTCAAGTTCAGAGATCCTATTGACTACTGTGTTTTTCTGTGGCTTTTTGACTCTGCATTTACCTTTCTTTTGTAACCAACTTTTCATCAATAAACAAGGATTGCTTTTCCTACAGTCCAGAGTGGTGGATTTAATCTTATGGTCTTGTTTCTTGAACTGGGATGCAACAGGAGACTGCAATACAAAGCTATTGCTTTTATTCCATAAAATATTCTTTTTCCACCAAGGAAAGAAATTACTTGCACTTAAAACGTACTGAGCTTGGCAAGAAGCCTCCTGACTTTGCCAGAACGTTCGACTGTACATTGCTAGGAATGCATCCCCAGAGATTCGGCTTTATTAAAAGACATTTCATAGAGGCCGTTCTAAACAGGACATCGCCATGAAATACAACCAGTTGAATCCACAGCCAGCGACAAGACAAACGACATTATCTCTTTTTATGAGATCAATTTATTTTGGAGTAGGAGCGCAGAAAACATCTGAACTATTTTGAAAGTTCGGTATAATTTGAAAGGTAACCTATCTCTTCACCAAAGGAGAGTCGAACAAAATGTCACCTTACTGGTCTGCAGCCATTAATCCTGGGAAAGCAATGCATTTATAACCGTCTACAGGAAGCCATGAAGTTCACAGCAATTTTAATTTAAGTTGTATACCAAAAACATGTGCAGGATGGGGGCTTCTTTAGGAGACAGGGAAGATCGAATCATCTATATAAATAAAAATGTAATGTTCGTTTGTGAGATTAACAGAACTCAAAAACCACTGGACGAATTGTCACCAAATTTGACAGTAAAACACATTCTAATCCGATCTATGGCTTTCAAACAAAAAACCCCGTAAAAATGAAGGGGAAAGAACTTAAAACTCCCCAAAAAGAAAAAATGCCTTACAGAGCATGCACAAAAGCCCTTCTCCCCATTGCGCAAGAAGAATGAAGCACCAACAGTTGTGAGAAGAAGCCTCACCATGGAGTCCCTTTCCTTTTTCTTTTGGGGAGGGGAGGGATTGAGGAAAGGAAAGAGGGAAGGAAGAAGGCCTGGCCCAACAGAGATCAAGGCAAGCTCTGGCAGCAGCTGAAGCCACCGCAGCGGCTCCATGAGGCCCACGTGGCTACCAGGCAACCATTCCCCCAAGACCAGAGGATTGCAAGGCAAGCCTGACTGCAGGAGCGGCTGCATATGCCCCCCCCCCAGGTTGGGTGAAGGGAGGATGCGAACCATGAGAAGGCCAGCAACTCCCACTTGGGCTCCACATCCCTCTTCACCCCCCCCCCAAAAAAACCCTTACAACTGTCCCGGAGGAAGGAGGGGAAAGAAAGGGAAAAGAGAGAAGAAAGGAAGAAAAGGATTGGTGAAGAGCAGAGAAGACTATGAATGGAAGGAAAGGTAGAAGGAAAGAAAGAGGAAGGAAGGGAAAGGAGGCAGGGATGGGAGAGGAAAGGAAGGGAAGAGGCAGGGAAGGAACAAAGAAAGAAGAAAGAAAGAAAGAAAGAAAGAAAGGGGAAACTGGTGAATAGAAGAATATAGAATCAGGGAGTCCTAGAGTTGGGAGAGGCCTGGTGGGCTGTGAAGAAGCAGGAACATCACATTCAAAGCACCCCCAACAGATGGCCACCCAGCCTCTGTTTCAAAGAGGCTTTTTTGAGTGTTTTGGCCAGCATGAATATCACTGAAAAGCCTTGCAGCTTCAGTGGCTGCTTCTCATTACTTTATTTTCCATACCACCTTGCACCTTAACAGCCTGGCTTCTACTAGCCAGCAGGAAGCCTTTGGTGGGAGGAGTTCCCTAGCCCAGATTGCTTCATGTCTGCAAATCCTCTATTTTCTGAGGGGTACAGTAACACATGGCTGGGTACAGCTAGTAGAATCATAAAGTTGGAAGAGACCTCATGGACCATCCAGTCCAACCCCCCACCAAGAAGCAGGAAAACTGCATTCAAAGCACCCCCAACAGATGGCATCCAGCCTCTGTTTAAAAGCTTCCAAAGAAGGAGCATCTACCACATTCCGGAGAAGAGAGTTCCACTGTTGAACAGCTCTCAGAGTCAGGAAGATAATGGTTTCCAAGTTGTAGCGCCAGAACACCACGTTCAAAGTAAAAAAATTCTTACCGTATTAAAATAAGCCTGTCCTTCTCTGAAGGATGGTCATCAAGCCACCGGGAATAGCGGGCAATGGTCCATTCGGCTCTCTTTCATGGGAATAAACACACAAAAACTCTGTCAAATCTCGGACATTTTCATGTGCTAAACAAAAATGAGTGCCAATAACTGATTGGTACATGAGTTTCATTTCTATATATGGTACAGAGTGACAAAGACAAGGACAAACAGACTGAGAGATAGCTTTTATCCTAGAGCTGTGGCGATGCTGAACACCATAGTTTTGCACTGATGCGGCATTAGGGGCTGTGCGGTGGTGTTTGGAGTGTGGAGGAATGGGTGTATTGTATATGTATATTGTATATTATATGCAATATAATACTAATAATATAATTATATATTTATATTACATGTAATATTACTAATAATCTATATAAATAAAAATGTAATGTTCGTTTGTGGGATTAACATAACTAAAACACCACTGGACGAATTGACACCAAATTTGGACACAAGACATCTATCAGGCCAACGAGTGACCATCACTCATAAAAACACTGAAAAACACAGCAGAAGGGACTTCAAAAGCCAAAAAACAAAACAAAAAACATTACAACGTATGCGCAAAACCACATATATATGTGCAAACACACACATACACAAATATATACACACACAAAACACATATACATAGACTGGGCCACAGCAACGCGTAGCAGGGGACAACTAGTCTATATAAATAAAAATGTAATGTTCGTTTGTGGGATTAACATAACTAAAAAACCACTGGACGAATTGCCACCAAATTTGGCCAAAAGGAACCTACTAACCCAAGGAGTGACCATCACTAAAAAAAATGATTTTGTCATTTGGGAGTTGTACTTGCTGGGATTTAAAGTACACCTACACTCAAAGAGCATTCTGAACTCCACCAATGAGGGAAATGAACCAAACATGGCACACAGGACTCCCATGACCAACAGAAAACACTAGAAGGGTTTGGTGGGCATTGACGTTGAGTTTGGGAGTTGTAGTTCACCTACATCCAGAGAGCACTGTGGACTCAAACAATGATGGATCTGGACCAAACTTGGCACGAATATTCCATACACCCAAATGTGAACACTGATGGAGTTTGGGGGAAATAGACCCTGATATTTGAGAGTTGTAGTTACTGGGATTTATAGTTCACCTACAATCAAAGAGCATTCTGAACCCCACTAACAAGAGAATTGGGCCAACTTCCCACACAGAACCCCCATGACCAACAGAAAATATTTAAGGCCATCCAGTCCATCTCCTTTCACTGGGGCAAGAAAATATAATGAAAGCCCTCCTGATAAAGAGCCATCCAGCCATAGATACTTGTTGTTGTTCATTTGTTCAGTCATTTCCGAATCTTCGTGACCTCATGGACCTCATGGACCATCCCACGCCAGAGCTCCCTATCGGCCGTCACCAGACCCAGATGGTATTTGTGGCACAAGTTCCAATGAATCATCTGAGCAACAGTGTTATGCCTCTGCTTGTAGTCTGTCTGCGCGATCTTCTTGCAGCAGCTGAGGATGTGATCTATTGTTTCATCTGCTTCCTTGCAGAGTCTACATTGTTGTTGTTGTTGTTATTATTATTATTATTATTATTAGTCTTTAGCAATTGTTCTCAAAAAATGTAGAACAGTCAGCTAACTGGCCTCAATTGGATTTGGCTTATAAATGGTTTAAGCCAGGGGTCCCCAAACTTTTGAACAGAGGGCCGGGTCACAGTCCCTCAAACTGTTGGAGGGCCGGATTATAATTTGAAAAAAATAATGAATGAATTCCTATGCACTCTGCACATATATTATTTGCAGTGCAACTCTCCCCCCCCCAAAAAAAATCAAAAACCCACACTTCTATATAAATAAAAATGTAATGTTTGTTTGTGGGATTAACAGAACTAAAAAACCACTGGACGAATTGACACCAATTTTGGACACAAGACACCTAACAACCCAATGTATGTCCTTCACTCAAAAAATTGATTTTGTCATTTGGGAGTTGTAGTTGCTGGAATTTATAGTTCAACTACAATACAGAGCATTTTGAACCCCACCAACGATGGAATTGAACCAAACTTGGCACACATTTCTCCCATGACCAACTGAAAATACTGGAAGGGTTTGGTGGGCAGTGTCCTTTGGTTTTGGAGTTGTAATTCACCTACATCCAGAGAGCACTGTGGACTCAAACAATGATGGATCTGGATCAAACTTTGCACAAATACTCAATATGCCCAAATGTGAACACTGGTGGAGTTTGGGGAAATAGACCTTGACATTTGGGAGTTGTAGTTGCTGGGATTTATAGTTCACCTACAATCAAAGAGCATTCTGAACCCCATCAACGATGGAATTGAACCAAACTTGGCACACAGTTCTCCCATGACCAACAGAAAATACTGGAAGGGTTTGGTGGGCAGTGTCCTTTGGTTTTGGAGTTGTAGTTCACCTGCCTCCATAAATCACTGTGGACTCAATGATAGATCTGGACCAAACTTGGCATTGATACTCAATATGTCCAAATGTGAACACTGGTGGCGTTTGGGGGTTGTATTTGTTGGGATTTATAGTTCAATTAAAGAGCATTCTGAACTCCACCAATGATGGTACGCAGAACTCCCATGAACAACAGAAAATACTGGGTTTAGTGGGCATTGACCTTGAGTTTTGGAGTTGTAGTTCACCTGCCTTCACCACGCCAGCGTTCCCTGGCCACGCCCACCCAGCGCCGCTCCGTCAATTGCAGACACCCTCTGCTCTGGCCGCTCTGCTCTGCAGAGAACCCACCTGGGAGGCTTCTCCCTCCCACACAGGCAGAGCGGCCGGAGCAGGGGGTTCCTGCGATTGGCGGAGCGGCGACAGGTGGGCGTAGCCAGGCCAGGCCATGCCATGCGGGCCAGAGAAATGCCCTCGGCGGGCTGCATACACCCCACGGGCCGTAGTTTGGGGACCCCTGGTTTAAGCCCTGCATTATTTTGCTCTGTAGTTACTACAGTCCCCTACCTAAAAGCATTGGTACTCTTAAATCTGGATCAGAAGTGATTAACATTTAGGACTGCACCCCGCCCTTCCAACCTGTGCCACTGGGCATGCTGGCTGGTGGCCTTCGGGAGCTACAGTCCAAAATTATTCCACTGCTGCTCTAGAGCTAAGTAATAATTTTGTTAACTACGCCATTTCCATTACTTCAGAATGCTTTAATTTTTTTCGGTGGCATTTAAACTTACAATTACCGCTAATGTAGAAACGAACAATGGGGAAATTCACAAAAAGAAGGGAAGGGCAGCTTTTTTGTTCAGAAGCTTTACTTTTGTTCTACTGCCAGGTGCTAATACAGAATGAAAAAAAATGTCGGCAACCTGCTTCTTGTTATGATCTTATAAAACCAAGCCAGGCGAGCTGCACCTTGAACAGCACTTCTCATTGCAATTAGAGGTAAATGTCATTTTCCTCTTGATGAAGGGTTTGACATGAAACGATGGCATAACCTCATTACCTGGAATGGGGATTTTAATTCAGGTGGTGCTCTTGTAAATAAGAACTGAATAACGGTGCTGAATGGAATGACATCTCCCACAGCCGGGCTGCTGGCAATGTGCTCGCTAGTTTGGAACAGCATTGGTCTGCGTGGAGAAGAAAGCACAAATTATACAATGCAGTTTAAAGGGAAGACTATTGTGCTTGCATTAGCATTGGTAGGTCTGTTTATCACGCAAGCTCATTGAAAACGGTTTAATTTATACATGAAGAGGTTTGCATAATAATAATAATAATAATAATAATAATAATAATAATAATAATAATATTTATTTATACCCTGCCACCATCTCCCCCAACAGGGACTCGGGGCGGACTATTTATTTATTTACTTTATTTCTAAACCGCTTTTCTCAGCCCTTAGGCAACTCAAAGCGGTTTACATAGTACAAATTATCACAAGACAGTATCATAGGCAATTAAAACACATTATACATAACAATCAATATCAATAAGCAATCATTATCATAGCGCCTCAACACCAAATCAGAAACCATTATCATAATCCTTTGTTCCATGTTCCTATGTTCGATTGCACCGGATTCCTATAATCAATTGCACTGTATAGCCAAACGCTTGTTCGAAGAGCCAGGTCTTCATCTTCCTCCGGAACGCCAACAGCGAAGGGGCCTGTCTGATGTCTACAGGTAGGGCATTCCACAGCCGAGGGGCCACCACCGAGAAGGCCCTGTCCCTCGTCCCCGCCAGGCGCGCCTGTGATGCAGGCGGGATCGAGAGCAGGGCCTCCCCAGACGATCTTAATGTCCTAGTCGGTTCATAGGTGGAGATGCGTTCGGAGAGGTAAGTAGGGCCGGAAACGTTTAGGGCTTTATAGGCTAAAGCCAGCACTTTGAATTGTGCCCGGTAGCAGATTGGCAGCCAGTGGAGCTGGCGCAACAGAGGAGTGGTTGTGCTCCCTGAGTGCCGCTCCTGTTAGCAACCTGGCTGCCGAGCGCTGGACCATTTGAAGCTTCCGAGCAGTCTTCAAGGGCAACCCCATGTAGAGAGCGTTGCAGTAGTCTAGACGGGATGTAACCAGAGCGTAGTCTAGACGGGATGTAACCAGGCTACATAAGGTCAAGCCCAAACAACAAATTACAATAAAATAAAATGCAAATTACCATAAAATAAAAAACATATACAATAAACAATATACACAAAACATTAAATATACACAAAACATTAAAACAAACACTGAGTAATCACTCCTGAGGACCAAGAAAATACCTAGAGAAGTATTCTTTCTAGGCCTCCAGCCTGATTCTCTAGACCAGGGGTCCTCAAACTTTTTGAACAGAGGGCCAGGTCACAGTCCCTCAAACTGTTGGAGGGCCAGATTATAATTTGAAAAAAATGAATGAATTACTATGCACACTGCACATATATTATGTGCAAAAACACTTAAAACAATACAATAATTAAAATGAAGAACAATTTTAACAAATATAAAATTATTAGTATTTCAATGGGAAGTGTGGGCCTACTTTTGGGTGATGAGATAGGATTGTTGTTGTTGTTGGGTGCTTTCAAGTCGTTTCAGACTTAGGTTGACCCTGAGCGAGGGCCGGGTAAATGACCTTGGAGGGCCGTATCCGACCCCCGGGCCTTAGTTTGAGGACCCCTGCTCTATACATTTTCTAGGTCTTGCAGAGCAATTGTATGGTATGCTTCATCTGGAAGCATATCATTTCAGATAAGAAAAATAGAATTTCAGATTACCAAAAGGGTCCTGGAAGAGATCCTTTATGCAACACACGAGCCTATAGTACTAGTACAATACTGGTCACAGTGCATACAATTTATGTGCGTCCATATCTCCTGGGGGTTTAGCGCATCTGGGAAGTCACCAGCAATTATAAGATCTATCAACCAAAAGGTTGCAAGTTTGAAGCCCCGGGTTGGCGTAAGTTGCCGACTGTCAGCCCAGCTTACTGTTTACCTAAGCAGTTCGAAAACAGCTTTAGCTGTAATTAGAGAAATTAAGTACCACTAAAAGTGGGAGAGGTGTTTTACGCCATTCCTACTTGGAATACATAATTACAGATAAATTGCTGTTCTTTTTAACAACAAGAATCACCTACGCCAGTGGTTCTCAACCTTTCTAATGCCGCGACCCCTTAGTACAGTTCCTCACATTGTGGCAACCCCCAACCATAACATTTTCATTGCTACTTTGTAACTGTAATTTTGCTACTGTTATGAATTGTCATGTACATATCTGATATGCAGGATGTATTTTCAAATCCCAAATACCCAATATGCCCAAATTTGAATACTGGTGGGATTGGGGGATTGATTTTGTCATTTGGGAGTTGTAGTGGCTGGGATTTATAGTTCACCTACAATCAAAGAGCATTCTGAACACCACCAATGATGAAATTGAACCAAACTTGGCACACAGAACTGCCTTGACCAAGAGAAAATACTGGAAGGATCTGGTGGACATTGACCTTGAATTTTTGGAGTTGTAGTTCACATACATCCAGAGAGCACTGTGGACTCAAACAATGATGGATCTGGACCAAACTTGGCACGAACACTCAATATGCTGAAATGTGAACACTGGAGGAGTTTGAAAAAAATAGACCTTAACATTTGGGAGTTGTAGTTGCAGGGATTTACAGTTCACCTACAATGAAATAACATTCTGAACCCCACCAACGATAGAACTGGACCAAACTTCCCACACAGAACCCATGACCAACAGAAAATACTATGTTTTCTGATGGTCTTTGGTGACCCCTCTGACACCCCCTCGCAACCCCCAAAGGTGTCCCGACCCCCAGGTTGAGAAACACTGACCTACGCAAAAAATTGAAAAAAGGAAGAAACCCCAGAAGAGGACAAATGGCTGACAAAAATTCAGGATATAAGGAATATGGACAAACTAACATTTCTAATATAAAAAAAAACAAAAACAAAACAAAACAAGGGAATACCAGGGGAAGAGGCGAACTGGAAATAGGTTACAGCATATTTATCAAAAAATAAAATAAAAATATTCATCTAAGAAGGGAAAAGAAAAGAAAACACAATGATAAAAAACAGAAGGAGGGAGAAAAGAAAAAGAAGAGCAAAAGAAAAAAAAAGGAATAGGAAGGAACCTCATAGAAGATACCAGGAAGCCAAGAAATACTTATTTTTATTCTAATCTACTCTACCTACTCTATATTATGACAATATTCTATTCTATGTATCACACCTATATCTCTGTCCTTACCCCCCAACTCCCTACCTCCATCCTGTCCACCCCTCTTCTGTCCTTAAGAGTTTTTCTCATTGCTACTCTCTAGCTTTTCACATTTTTTTCCCTTTTCAATGTAACTTAATGTTTTTAACCATACACACACACACACACACACACACACACACACACACTATATTTTCTAGCATATAAGACGACTTTTTAACCCACGAAAATCTTCTCAAAAGTCAGGTCTTATACACCGGGAGTAGACTTATATGCTGGAAGTATTCTTATATACTCGTAGTCGTATACGCCGGGAGTCATCTTATACGCCGGAAGTCGTCTTATAGAGTGGGTGCTGAAACTTCCAATCCAGATTGGAGAATCTGTGGTTGCCGCATATGATGGGGGAGCTCAAAAATGGCAGTGGCTGCGTCCCTGCCATATGCAGCGACTATATGAAAGCATTAAGGGTGACGCTGTACAAGTATGGTAGAAGAAAATCCATTCATCAGGATTTGTGGACTTAATGCGGTCCCGATGGTGAGGAGAAAGGGCGCCTCGCCGGGAAAGTGTAAGTGAAGGGTGGAGCAAGCTGCAGGCATCCGGGCCCGGGGTATGGAAAAAAAGAGATAGAGTGGCTCTGGGCCCAGAAAAACACAACTCTTTTACCTGTTTGGTCCGCCCTTGTATCCTATTACCGTACCTCCTACTCTGCCTCTCAGATCTTGCTCCTGAAGAGTGCAGTGAAGCGGTGCAGGTGCGCATGTGTGAGATCTGAGAGGCAGAGAAGGAGGTACAATAATAGGAAAATTACCGAGTATATACCAAATTCTATATTTTAACTGGAAAAGTTGGAGGTCGTCTTATATGCCCAGTTGTTTTATATGCCGGAATATATACTCTCTCTTTCTCTTTCTCTCTCTCTCTCTCTCTCTATATATATATACTAGCTTTACTCGCCACACGTTGCTGTGGCCAACCTTCCCTCTCTCTTTCTCTCCTTTTTTCCTATCTTTCCTTCCCTCCCTCTTTCATTCCTTCCCTCTTTTTCTTTCTTTTTCTTTCCCTTCTTCTTTCTTCCTTCTCTACATGTTTCTTTTCTCACTTCTTTTGTTCTTTGGTTCCACCCTTCCTTGTCTCTTTCCTTCCTTCCCTCCCTCTTTCTCTCTTTCGTTCCTTCTCTCCTTCCTCCCCCCTTTCACTTTTTTATTTCATTCTCTCCCTCTTCTCCTTCCTTCCTTCTCTACTCTTCTTTCTTTCCTTCTTTATCTCCTTCCCTCCTTCTTTCCCTCCTTCTCTCCTTCCTTCCTTCTCTACCTTTTCTTTCCTTCTTCTCTCCTTCTTCTTCTTCCTCCTGGCCACGTGGGAGGCGTGGGGGCGTGGCGTGACGGGGGGGGCGTGCGGGGGAGGGAAGGGGCATGGCGTGAACGTGTGGGGCAGGGCGGGGAGGGAGGGGGCGTGGCGTGAACGTGTGGGGCGGGGCGGGGGAGGGAGGGGCGTGGCGTGAACATTTGTGGTGGGGCAGGAGAGGGGGTGGGGCATGAATGTGGGGGCGCGGCGGGGGAGGGAGGGGGGGTGGCGTTAACGTGTGGGGAGGGGCCGGGGAGGGAGGGGGCGTGGTGTGAACATGGGAGCAGGGCGGGGGAGGGAGGGGTGGCGTTAACGTGTGGGGAGGGGCCGGGGAGGGAGGGGGCGTGGTGTGAACGTGGGAGCAGGGCGGGGGAGGGAGGGGGCGTAGCGTGAACGTGGGGGGCGTGGCGGGGGAAGAAGGAGGGGGCGTTGGAAAGAGGGCGTATGGGAGAGTAGGGGCTGGGCGACGGAGGGTGTGTTGGCCGGCTGGCCATGTGCGCGCGCCGGGGACTTACGGCGGGGCGGCTTTGCGCATGCTCAGTTGGTTTTTGTTATTGTGAGTGTGTAGAAATGTTGTTTAGAATTTTGAATCGGTTTGTGCATACCTTGTGGGTTGAGGTATGTGCATGGTAAATTTGGTAACTTTTCGTCAGGGGTTTTTTGAGTTTTGCTGTCCTGTTGGACGCCCTTTCTCTTTTTATATATATAGATATATATATATATACACACACACACATACACACACACACACACATATATATACACACACACATACACACACTATAACAACTGAGCCACAACCACCAAACATCCAGGAAGCAGAACTAAGAGCAAGCTTCAGCTTTGTTTATGCTGTGCCAATAGCAAGCGTATAACCCGGAAACCAAAATCTGTCCCTTTTCTTTGCAGCTGCATGCTGCTTTGCTTCATAATCCTCACACTCCTCTATTACTAAATGTTGTAAGTGATCGCTTGTACTAACAGCCTATTATTTTAATTAAACAGTTTCCCAACACTGCCTCTTACATTCGGTTTTCAGGGGGAAACCCCCCAATGTGACTACACATCTCATTATTGCAAGAACCAAGATCAAAAACAAAAGCAGAGGTACAATTTAGCTGACATTTGCATGACAAAATTCTCCAACTCACAGTATAAAATACTAAAGGGGAAAAAAACCACACCAATTTGTTGGTAATTTACATGGGATGCTGCCAGGAGGTTTTAATTAAATTCCCATGCAAATGAGAAGTCATTAACTTTGCTTAATGAGAAAAAACTCCTACTGTTGGAAATGTTTTGAATCTCACTCACCTGAATGATCTCAAGAGTTTGTAGGACTTCCCCAGATCAGACACTCGCCTGCAGAGGGGAGCCACGGCTAACTCCATCTGTGGGAGAAAATGAATTTTGCTTCAATATGTCGTTCAAAATCTCAGGGCAAAACAGACAGGCAAAAATGGGGGGGGGGGGGTTAGTAAGTGAACTTTATAAACAAGAACCCAGGCCAAGCTTCACCAGTTGTGCATGTCCACCAATTAGTCCAGTGTTGAGATGTCAGAAGTGAAGGCCAAGCTCATCAATATCCTGTCAATTAATGAATGGCATGTGCTCATCACACAGCTAGCTAATTGGCTAGTATCCTTATCAGCATTGTATCTGAACGTATCTCCTGTTACGAACCATCACGCACTTTAAGATCATCTGGTGAGGCCCTGCTCTCGATCCCACTGCCTTCACAAACACAATTTGTGGGGATGAGTGACAGGGCCTTCTCAGCAGTGGCCCTCCCATCTGTGGAATTCCCTCCCCAGGGATATCAGATTGTATTTTAATTGACTTGTTTAATTTTTGAATGATTTATTGTACCAGCCATAGGCCATGACATAACATAATATACAACCTTTAAAAGTACAATAAACACCTTTCCAATATAAATATTAAAACTTATTCCATATACTGGCTCTTTAAAATTATAGTAGCAGTGACATCATAACAATCGCAAATGTGTGATTTATATAATCCCAATTTCCATTTCTATTTTAATATTTATCTTTTACTAGCCATCCCCTGCCACGCGTTGCTGTGGCCCAGTCTGGTGATCTGGAAAATAAAGTAATGAGAAAGTGTTGGTTTCTAATAAATGTAATTTTTTAATGCTTCTGGGTAAGCAGTATTTCTTGCTTCTTCGTTGTCTGATTTGCCTACTCTGGAACACCAGATAATTGGATACATTTCTGCCAACGATGAACAAGTTTTCTGAAGCCGTCATGGAAGAAGATGATACTCTGTTTTGGGTACCCAAAACAGATAATTGTCTTTCTTTAGGGGGTCCCTTTCAAATCTATGTGTGTGTGAATCATACTTATCTATCGATCTATCTATCTATGGCTGGATGGCTCTTAGTCAGGAGGGCTTTGATTACATTTTCTTGCCCTGGTCAAGGGAGTTGGTCTGGATGGCCTTAAGTATATTCTGTTGGTCATGGGGGTTCTGCGTGCGAATTTATTTATTATTATTTATTTATTTTATTTACTTTATTTATATACCGCTTTTCTCAGCCCTCAGGTGACTCAAAACGGTGAACAACATCAATACAAAACGTCACGAGACAAGTATAGGGCAATTAAAACAATTGTAATATAAATCATTCAAAAATAGAATTAAATTCTGTCATTGGTGGGGTTCGGAATGCTCTTTGATTGTAAGTGAACTATAAATCCCAGTAACTACAACTTCCAAATGTCAAGGTCTATTTCCCCCAAACTCCATCAGTGTGCACATTTGAGAATATGGAGTATTTGTGCCAAGTTTGGTCCAGATCCATCATTGTTTGAGTCCACAGTGCTCTCTGGATGTAGGTGAACTACAACTCCCAAACTCAAGGTCAATGCCCACCAAACCTTTCTGGTGTTTTCTGTTGGTCATGGGAGTCCTGTAGGCCACGTTTGGTTCAATTCCATAATTGGTGGAGTTCAGAATGCTCTTTGATTGTAGGTGAACTATAAATCCCAGCAACTACAACTCCCCAATGACAAAATCATTTTTTTTTTTTTTAGTGAAGGACATACATTGGGTTGTTAGGTGTATGCTGTCCAAATTTGGTGTCAATTCACCCACTGGTTTTTGAGTTCTGTTAATCCCACAAACGAACATTACATTTTTATTCATATAGGTATAGTTGAATTTTAATTGCATTACATTTAAAGTTGTTAACTGCTTTGGGTCCTAATCCTGGGAAATGCAAGATAATGATGGTAACAACAATAACTACACTTCAATCCCAGCAACAAATGCTACCATAAAGCTGATTTCCTGTAGAAACAAAAGACCTATCATTTATTAATTTATTCACAGGTCAACAAGACCCATTTCAGACCATGTCTCCAATCTGGGGGGCGAGAGGGAATTAATTTATCTCCTGGGCCAATTAATTGATTTCTCCCAGGCCAATAATTTCTGTTCTGATGAACAAAGACAGTTCTCTATCCCACATAATAACAGCATAATTATTTTTTGCAGTTACTAAGCTCAAAATAATTGTCCTTTCAGACAATATTATTGTGCCAGATACTGAAAAACTCTTCAACTGACTTTATTATGTTCATGTTTCAGTTCTTTTAATATGCAAAGCCACACAGCATTTAAAGGGCAAAATATTACTCTCAACCTAATGCAATGGAAAATACTCCAAATTACAATAACCTTCACACACTTGGATTTGTTATACGGGAATAAACCACTTCATAATGACTAAGTCATAAAGTAGTCCAGTTCTCAGACGATCCCTTACGGTACATATAACTGTTAAGAAAATGTCACTTTAGTATACCTCACTGACCTAAGGGAAATCCTTTGTAGCCAGTCCTAAAAAGTGAAAAATTGAACCATGTGTTTAGTACGAGTGACTATTTTCACCTTTCAAGTCTCTGTCAAGCTCACCGCTCTGCATATGTTCATGTTTTGACTGCTAGACATACGAGGGTTGAATGAACAGTAATGTCTCCATCTTCATTACTTGGGATTTGGATGGGAATATTTTAATAAATCAAACGCAGAAATAATCCTTAATGTGCTCTTTAACTACCACTATTCACTTTTCCACATAATCACCAGATAATTGGATACATTTCTGCCAACGATGAACAAGTTTTCTGAAGCCGTCACGGAAGAAGTCGACACTCTGTTTTGGGTACCCATCGTGCACAGATCTTCCGATAGCCAAGCAAAGCACAATTGCACAATTAAAACTTGTACGCCAGCTGCGCCCGTACCTTGGGAAGTCTTGGCCACGGTGGTCCACGCTCTGGTTACATCCCATATAGACTACTGCAACGCTCTCTACGAGGGGTTGCCTCTGAAGACTGCCCAAAAGCTACAACTAGTCCAACATGTGGCAGCCAGATTACTGACAGGAGCGGGGTACAGGGAACACACTACTCTTTTGTTGCGTCAGCTCCACCGGCAGCCAATTAGCTTCCGAGCACAATTCAAAGTGCTGGTGTTGACCTACAAAACCCTAAACGGTTCTGGCCCAGTTTACCTGTCTGAACAGATTCTCCCCTATGAACCATCAAGGCTGCTAAGATCTTTTGGAGGGGCCCTGCTATCGGTCCCACCACATTCGCAATCGCGTCTGGTGGGGACGAGAGACAGGGCCTTCTCGGTGGTGGCCCCTCGGCTATGGAACTCTCTCCCGATGGAGATTAGATCTGCCCCTTCCCTCCTGACCTTCAGAAAGCTAGTGAAATCCTGGCTCTGGGACATAGCATTCTCAGAATGATGGGTGAGTTCAGCAATAACCTAATAACTACTGACCACATTGGTGGATTGAGATGAACGTGATTTTATCTTGGCAATTTGGCTTTATGTATTTATTCTATTTGTATTTTAACTTATTATGTTGTTATTATTTTTTTGGCTGTATTTTGTATTGATTTTTTTGTTGTTAGCCGGCCTAAGTCCCTCTGCGGAGGTTGAGAAGACCGGGGTATAAAAGTTTTAAATAAAATAAATAAATAAATAAATGTGACCCATATGCTTGAAATTTCTCTCTGAGCGATATGACGATCGTCCTGAATCAAGCTTTCGATGAGTGAATAACTCGGGACTATGTCTGTTCTTGTTTTTATTGTATTTTAAAGTTCATTGTATTGTTTTAATCTACTGCTGTAAACCGCTCCGAGCCAAATTGGGAGTAGCGGTATACAAGTCAAATAAATAAATAAATAAATATGTCAACCTTTTGCTTGTGAAACTCGGTGGTTGCTGTCACAGGACGTCCAACTCAAGTCCTATGAGGAGCGGCTTAGGAAACTGGGCATGTTTAGCCTGAAGAAGAGAAGGCTGAGAGGAGATATGATAGCCATGTATAAATATGTGAGAGGAAGCCACAGGGAGGAGGGAGCAAGCTTGTTTTCTGCTTCCTTGGAGACTAGGACGCGGAACAATGGCTTCAAACTACAAGAGAGGAGATTCCATCTGAACATTAGGAAGATCTTCCTGACTGTGAGAGCCGTTCAGCAGTGGAACTCTCTGCCCCGGAGTGTGGTGGAGGCTCCTTCTTTGGAAGCTTTTAAGCAGAGGCTGGATGGCCATCTGTCAGGGGTTATTTGAATGCAATATTCCTGCTTCTTGGCAGGGGGTTGGACTGGATGGCCCATGAGGTCTCTTCCAACTCTTTGATTCTATGATTCTTGATTACAAATGTTCCCACCTCAACATCTTTAAACTTACTCGCCCAACGACGCACAGTACTCACATCAACACAATCACCATAACAGCTTGCATTCTCTGATGAATCTCCTTTGGGGTGACACCTTCTGCTGTCAAGAATTCAATGACTGCACGTTGCTTAAATTACACTGACCGACTGTCTGCGTAGGGTTCTATACTTTGTACTTTAACAACACAACCATTCAATGCTAAGGCTTTCTGCCAAAATGGAACTGTAGAGGAGAGTCTACTGAACAAGCCAGTACCTGCCACAGTACTGCCATCTGTTGAGGAGTTACGAAGGTGGAGGCATTACTTTTCATTCAACCCTCATAATATAGTCCCCCTTTTTCAGCAACTAAGATTCCTTGGGTCAGAGTCCATCGCAATATAAGCTTTCCACATGACCTGAATGTTATTTAATCACTTGTAGATAGACATTAGACCTGGGCAATGCATGGTTCTAAATGGTTCTAAAGTACTTACAGAACTAAAGTTCTGGTGGTGAAAATTTCAGAACTCTAACAAAACTTTCAAAATTTAATTATTATTTCATTATTGGTGATTTTTATGACAGAACCAATTAGGAACTGCCATTTATAATGAAATTTTGAGAGTTTTGTTAAAACTTCCATTCCAACCTACAAGAACACAGTGACTGCAAACATCTCATTCTCATTCTAGTGAGCAATAAATAGCAAATTCAGGGGAGACAGTATACCCTTCACAGAGAGATAAGAAAGTGTTGAGATAAAACACAACTAAAACAAAAGAAAGATATACTTGGAAAGGACTGCTCCTGAATCATGTCAATTAGGACCTGGCACAACATCAGTTACACGCAGCATGTGGGAATGGATCTATGATCCAGTTTGTCACAGTTTAGAAAAGTTACTTTTTTTGGACCCCAGTCAGCATGATGAGATTCTGGGCGCTGCATTTCAAAAAATTATTTTTCACAAAACAACTGAATTTGGCCACATCAATCCTTGCCCTTCAATGATCACAAATTGAATTTCTAAGTTTCCAGTGGAAATCTCTCTGGATTTCAACTGTACTCATCAGAAGCTCAAGTTTACAACTACCATAACAAAGACTTTTATGGCATGATAAAACAAGGTACAGTGCATGTGTAAAAATGACTCACTGGCCCCTCCCCCACTTGCTCGAGCAGGGAGCGTTGACTGCTCCGGTGGGCTGGGCAGGCAGACCCTTGGCTTCCCCACGCCCCAAATTTGGTGTCTCCCCCTTCTCTCTCCCACTTGCAACCCCCATGGGGCCCCTACCTTCCTCGCCTTTGGGCCTACCCTCCCTCACCACATTGGGGCCTCGCGTGGGCCCTCCTTCTTTCCCTCCCTCCCACTCTCCTTCCTCTCTTTGTTGGCCCCACCAAAAAGAAGGAGGACATCTCCTCCTTCTTTTCCCCCTGGAGAGGTGGGTGGGTGGCTACTCCGTGTGGACATCGCTCGCCAAACTTCGCATTCCCTTGCCAACAATAGAATTGGGCCAAACCTCCCACACAGAACCCCCATGTGGGCCACAGCAACGCGTGGCAGGGGATGGCTAGTGAATAAATAAAAGTTAAGTTTGGTCTTCTTTCATATACCTGTGCAAAGTCAGCAGCAAGACGCATCTTCCCGCCTTCACCCAAGGGTCTTAGCAGGCTGGCATTGCGGATAAATATTTCAATGGCTCTCTGAGCAATGGCTTCAGTACTTTCATAGACAAAGTCGTAACATTCAAAGTGTCTGAAGTAGTCATTCATGACTCTCGAAATGAAGCCCTGTAGCTCTTTCATGTACAGAGAACAAGGGATATCTGGCTTTCCTGAAGTGGGTAGTGACCTACCAGAAGGAAAAAAGGGGGGAAGGGGTGTTAATTTCCTGTTGATATCAACTACATAGTGTTGTGTTGTTTGCTTTTATGCCGAGGAAGGCAATGGCAAAGACCGCATACAGGAGAGTATCCTTTTTTACACTGAAAAATAAAGAGCTGCCTCTAAAAACAGTATCTGAAAATTTTTCAACTTCATTACATGTCCTCATGACATGACAAGTCCTGTTTCTACGCCCCCACATAGCTTTTTTCATCAGCTGGAAGCTTAAAGCTTTAAATCTATGCCTTAAATCTAAACAGTCCAGCTGTTGGTTTAATTCTCTAACAACAGACCATATCATTCTAGACAACACATTACAGTGCTAACAATCCAACCTGACCCCAAACCATTTTTATTTAGTCTCTAAAAATGTTGTGATTCTGCATTACAGATTATACGTACATTTCCTTCTAATCCGGACAGAATGACACAAACGACAGGGTGTGGCTTGAAGTGAACCAGAGGACACAGGTTTCCTGCCAATTGCACATATATCCATGGGATTTAGTTAATAATGTGCATCAGGAATCTGCATTAGAAGTTTTTAAAATGTGAGCTGTAGTGTCCTGTGTATCAATGTATTTTAAGAGGTACCATTTTAGAATGGAATGCGATTGTATTTCCCGTTTTTTGTCCAATGCCATTTTCCCCAGAAAAATTGGGGTGGGGGAGAGTGTGTAGTCTCAAAAATCTTTCATTAAGGTCTTCATGTTATATCATTTGAATACATGTCATAGATATGTTATTTATCACTGGAAATGAACATACACGGTTCCGGCCCAGCGTACCTGTACAAACTTATCTCCTTCTACGTCCCACCTCGGAGTTTAAGATCTTCTAGGGAGGCCCTGCTCTCGGCCCCGCCTCTGTTCCAATCGCGCTTGGCAGGGACGAGGGACAGGGCCTTCTTGGTGGTGGCCCCCCACCTTTGGAATTCACTCCCTGGTGAAATTAGATTATTGATGTCCCTCCTTTCCTTTAGAAAGAAGTTAAAAACGTGGATGTGGCACCAGGCCTTCGAGTAATCTTGCTGACAATTATTATTATTATTATTATTATTATTATTATTATTATTATTCTTTACGGCATTTATATGCCGCCCCTCTTACCCCGAAGGGGACTCAGAGTGGCTTACAAGATATATTTTCATACAATATATTATATTATTAGCATAGTACAATAATATAATATATTCACCTTTGGGGTGAGATGGGCGGCATATAAATGCCGTAAAGAATATTATTAGCATAGTACAGAGCCCCCGGTGGTGCAGTGGGTTAAACCCTTGTGCCAGCAGGACAGGTCGCAGGTTCGAATCCAGGGAGAGGCGGATGAGCTCCTTCTATCAACTCCAGCTCCTCATGCGGGGACATGAGAGAAGCCTCCCAGAAGGATGATAAAAACATCAAAATCATCCGGGCATCCCCTGGGCAACGTCCTTGCAGACAGCCAATTATCTCACACTAGAAGCGACTTGCAGTTTCTCAAGTCGCTCCTGACATGACAAAAAAAAAGCATAGTACAATATCAGTATTATATATTACTATATTGCACTATACCATTATATTGTAGTATTATTAGTAATATTACATGTAATGTAAATATATAATTATAATTATAATATTATTACTAGTATTATATTGTATTACATTATAATATTATAAATATTATATGTATATACAATATACTATATTATATTATTAGTAAAGACAAGATGAAAATGTGACATTCGCTATGGAAATGGACTATGGACATGCTTGATGGTGTCGCTAACTACAGAATTCGGCTCAGATAAGGCCACCAGGCTGTTACTGAAACAGAAACAGATTTTAATGAATTAATGTGATTTATTGTTTTAAATGTATGTAATTATTGGATTTTATTATGTATTTTATTATGTGTACATTGGAGGCATTGAATTGTTGCCGGCTGGAAGCCGCCCCGAGTCCCCCCCAAGGGATTGAGAAGGGTGGGGTACAAATATTCAAAATAAATAAATAAATACTAAACAGTACAATTTTTCCAGAAAAAAAATGGCTTTGGAAAAAATGGGGAAAATACTGCCCCTGCCCCCCCCCCCCTATTTTCTTTTACCAGGACTTCACATCTCTAGTTAGAACAGAAAACCTCACAAGTTCTTTCAAATGATTAATTGGGACTCTGGCTGAAAAAAAATCACCACAAAAAAAGGGAAGGGTACAAAGGAAATATGTACAAAATTCCTCACAACAATACAGAAAGAGAAATCTAAGAACTCTAAAGGATAGTTCTCATCATAGGATCATCCAGAGCGCATTTACAGTCAATAGAAGGTTACAAAATCCTATGCCAGTGGTTTCTTTTGATTTGCGGAGCCCTTTTATAATCAATTTCTGTGGCGGAGCTCCTTAGGCTTGTTATGCCTAACAAGTTAATGGTGTTTAGAAGTAGTGTTACAGGGAGAGAAAGAAGGGATAGATCAGGGGTCCTCAAACTTTTTAAACAGAGGGCCAGGTCAGAGTCCCTCAAATTGTTGGAGGGCTGGATTATAATTTGAAAAAAATATGAATGAATTCCTATGCACACTGCACATATCTTATTTGTAGTGCAAAAAACACTCAAAAACAATACAATAATTAAAATGCAGAACAATTTTAACAAATATAAACTTATTAGTATTTCAGTGGGAAGTGTGGGCCTGCTTTTGGCTGATGAGATAGGATTGTTGTTGTTGTGTGCTTTCAAGTCGGTTCAGACTTAGGTTGACCCTGAGTGAGGGTCGGGTAAATGACCTTGGAGGGCCGTATCCGGCCCTTGGGCCTTAGTTTGAGGACCTCTGGGATAGATAGTAAAGAGATTAGACAATTGCACAATGTCCATACAATGAAATTGTATTTTAAAAACGTGGAAATTTACCATAGTATTTCAACTACCACCAACACACATGATATTGGCAAAACCTGGCCATTCATAAAAATCCTTCTAAAGTTCAATAAATCAAATAATTGTGTTACGACAGAACTAGAGTGCACTGTAGTGCAACAGCAAGCCAAAACTAAGACATAACATAAAATAATGTATAAACTTTTACTGAGACACTTGTGGTTGCATTTTTGCAGTTGTCTTATTTTAGGTTCAGTTGATGATCATTGCAGGAGAACATCTGGTCCTATATTTAAAAAGCTCCTGCATTTTGTTTTGGTACCTGTTTATTTATGCCTATTACATATAGGACTAAGATAGCAGTGTAGTAACTCCATTACCCAGAAAAGTCTTCCTGGTGCATAGTGATGATAATAGCCTCTATTGAGTCTCCAACTGAGTTTAGTAAAGGTTGCACGGCATTTCCCATCAAATCATGGACTGTCTGGAAAAAGAATGACCAAGAATAGTTAGGAAACACACACATGAGACAACAATATGTCTATTTATTTATTATTTATTTACAAGATTTCTACCCCGCCCTTCTCAGTTCCCGAGGGGGGACTCAGAGCGACTAACACTGACAGCAATTCGATGCCACAGTTTCACAATCTATATAAATAAAAATGTAATGTTCGTTTGTAGGATTAACAGAACTCAAAAACCACTGGGGGAATTGACACCAAATTTGGACATAAGACACCTAACAACCCAATTTATATCCTTCAATCATAAAAACACTGAAAAACACAGCAGAAGGGACTTAAAAAGCCCCAAAAACGCTAAATGACGAAAAGCTAAATGACAATACAGAAAAAAGGAAGAAAGAGGGAGGGAAGGGGAGAAAAAGAAACAGAAAGAAAGAAAAGAAAAGAGGGCGGGAAAGAAAGAAAAGAAAGAGGGAGGGAAAGAAAGAAGGAAAGGGAGAAGGAAGGAAGGAAAGAGGTAGAGAAGGAAGAAAGGAGAGAAAGAGGGAGGGAATGAAAAAAGGGGGAAGGAAGAAAAGTTAGAGAAGGAAGGAAGGAGAGAAGGAAAGAAAAAGGGAAAGAAGGAAGAAAAGATGGAGCGAAGGAAGGGGGAAGATGTAGAGAAAGAGGGAGGGAAGGAAAGAAGGAAAGAGAGAAGGAAGAAAAGAGAGACAGAAGAAGAGAAAGAAAAAGGGGAAAGGAAGGAAAGAGATAGAGAAGGAAGGAAGAAGAGAAGGAAAAACGGAGAAGGAAGGAAGGAAGGAAGGAAGGAAGGAAGGAAGGAAGGAAGGAAAGAGGGAGTGAAGGAAGGAGGGAAAGAAGGAGAGAAAGAGGGAAGGTCGGCCACAGCAACGCGTGGCGGGTACAGCTAGTATACAATATAAAAACCATAAATACACAATAGATTAAAACAATAACATTAATTTGGGCTACACCCTCTAAGTTCCAAGATTCAATTAAATTCTCCAAATGGATTTGGCTGTATATAGTGCTATTTTGTGCTATGACAAAATATTTTTTTTAAAAAAACATTTGCTATGATATTCTCCAAACGGTATACCTGAAAAAAAATATTTTATTACAAGTGACTCTTTCTTTGCTGGCCCTTGTTCAACCTGCTGTTCTACATAAGGGGAGTTGGAAGAGATCCACCTAAATTGCACAGCATGTTTATTTTTATGCAAGTTTATGTATCTGTGTTCATACATCTATCTGGGTAGGTGTGATGTGTGTGTAAAAATAAATACATTTGTCAACTTAACTGGATTTTCTCCCACTCGCTTTGTGTGAACAAAGGGTTGATAAAGGGTCCACAAGGAAAGAGTCACGTGGAAGAGAATGCTTCGGAGAAGTTTAATATGATGCGACAGCTATCTATAGAGCTTTATAAAAACCAAGTGAAGTGGCTAAGTTTTAGTTCAGCATCCACCTGTAGAGTTCTTTTTAAAATCTTAAATGTGGGAATATATTTTTAAGGATATAAAAAGGAAAGAAATTAAGAGAATAAAAAACCCAATGTTGAGAAATGTGCTAGGAATTTGGAATAGATACAAGGAAATATTATTATCAGAAAGTTCAACACTAACACCAATAATAATGGATAGAAAATTCAAATAATAATAATAATAATAATAATAATAATAATAATAAACCTTTATTTATACCCCACTACCATCTTCCAAGGAACTCAGTGTGGCTTACAAGAGGCTGAGCCCAAATACATCAATAAAAAAGCAACAACAATACAGACAATAATAAACTCATAAACAAAGCAATAAACAGTAACAATAACAGCAAAACGCATTAAAAACCTATGGTGGGCCAATTGTAATAATTAAAATTTTAAAAATGCTGGGCATGACAAGGTGACATATAACTAGGATAGGTATTTGGAGAGAGATGGAGTGAGCAGACAATCCTAGATCATTAGTAAAGTGCGATTAGGGACATGTTGCTTAGGATTTCCTTATTCTGGGAAGGCACACTGGAACAACCACGTTTTCAGGCTCCTCTTAAAGACTGCCAGAGTTGGGGCATGCCTAATGTCCTTGGGGAGCGAGTTCCAGAGTCGAGGGGCCACCACCGAGAAGGCCCTATCCCTCGTCCCCACCAATCGCACTTGTGGATGGAGGTGGGATCATGAGTAGGGCCTCTCCAGATGAACGAAGAGATTGTGTGGGTTTGTACACAGAGATGCGGTCACTCCCAAAAAATTTAAAAAATATATTAGATAAAAAAATTAAGAGAGAAGAATATAGATAAAATTGGAGATTGGATAAAAGCAAACATGAGGAAAGAAACTATATTGAGAGAATTTAGAGATATTAAACTCTCATGGTTCCATTGCTTACAGTTAGAGCAATGGTTCAAGAATTGGATAAAAAATAATGGGGAAGGAGGCAAACTTACGCAAGTTGAACAAATGATACAAAAATAAAGAGCTACAAAGCCCTGAATGGTTTGGGACCCGCCTTACCATCTCTGTATACGAACCCACACGATCTCTTCGATCATCTGGAGAGGCCCTGCTCTCGATCCCACCTGCATCGCAGGCGCGATTTGTGGGGACGAGAGAGGGCCTTTTCGGTGGTGGCCCCTCAACTCTGGAACTCACTTCCTAAGGACATCAGACATGCCCCAACGCTGGCAGTCTTTAGGAGGAGCCTGAAAACGTGGTTGTTCCAGTGTCCCTTCCCAGAATAAGGAAAACTCTTAGCAATATGTCCTCAAATGCACTTTAATATTGATTTAGGATTGTCTGCGCGCCCTCATCTTTCTCTGAAAACCCTATCCTAGTTTACCTTACCTTGTTCATGTCCAGCATTTTAAATTTTAATTATTACATTTGGCCCGGCCATAGGTTTTTAAATGCTGTATGTTATTATTGTTTATTGCTTATTGTGTATTTTTTGTTTTGAGTTTTTTATTTTTTTATTTTTTAACTGTTTGTATTGATTATTTGTTATTGCCTTTGTTTATTGATGTGCTGTGGGCTTGGCCTCATGTAAGCTGTCCCTTGGGGAGATGGTAGCGGGGTACAAATAAAGTTTTATTATTATTATTACTAGCTGTACCCTACCACGCATTGCTGTGGCCCTCAGATAAGAGAGGAATTCCAGTTGAAGCAATAGACAGAAGGGACAGATGGAAGAGACATTGATAGATGGAACAGAAGGTAGATGGCTAGAACATAGATAGGTTGGTAGGTACTAGGTAGATAGATATGTAGATGGAGTGATTGATGGATTGAAGGATGGATGGACATACAGACAGACAAAGGGGGTTGGAGTGGATGGCCTCTGGGACTCCCTTCCAACTGGTTGACCATCTGTCGGGAGGGCTTGGATGGTGTCTTCCTTTACTGTAAAATGGGGTTGGACTGGATGGCCTTTGGGGCCCCTTCCTATCCCTCAAAGGGTTTCCCGCGCCCGTCCTTCTGTGTGTGGCATCCAAGGGCCCCTTCCCCGGCGATCCCCCTCCATCCCTCCCCGGCCTCCCTCCTAGCCAGTTGTTGCTGTGGCCTAGCTTTGTGATATGGAAAATATTTAAACAACTAAATACTTTTTAAATTAAAATACTAACAGTAAAGTATTTTAAAGTTAATTAAGTATTTTTAGATTTAAATTTTGTAAAGGTAAACAATTTGGGCATATGGAATATTTGTGTCAAGTTTGGTCCAGATCCGTCATTGTTTGAGTCCACAGTGCTCTCTGGATGTAGGTGAACTACAACTCCCAAACTCAAGGTCAATGCCCACCAAACCCTTCCAGTGTGTTCTGTTGGTCATGGAAGTCCTGTATGCCATGTTTGGTCCAATTCCATCATTGGTGGAGTTCTGAATGCTCTTTGATTGTAGGTGGACTGTGAATCCCAGTGACTACAACTCCCAAATGTCAAGGTCTATTTCCCCCAAATTCCATCTGTGTTCATATTTGGGCGTATTGAGTGCTTGTGCCAAGTTTGGTCCAGATCCATCATTGTTTGAGTCCACAGTGGTCTCTGGATGTAGGTGAACTACAACTCCCAAACTCAAGGTCTATGCCCACCAAAGCCTTCCAGTGTTTTCTATTGGTCATGGGAGTCCTGTGTGCCAAGTTTGGTTCAATTCCATCGTTGATGGAGTTCAGAATGCTCTTTGATTCTAGGTGAACTAGAAATCCCAGCAACTACAACTCCCAAATGACAAAATCATAATTTTTCGAGTGATGGTCACTCCTTGTGTTGAGACGTTTTGTTGCCAAATTTGGTGTGATTTCGTTCATTATTTCTTTTGTTTTTAAGGTACTCATTATGACCATATCATTTATATATATATAGATTGCCTTTGTTTATTGATGTGCTGTGGGCTTGGCCTCATGTAAGCCGCACCGAGTCCCTTGGGGAGATGGTAGCGGGGTACAAATAAAGTTTTTTTTATTTATTATTATTATTAATACTGAAGTAATAACACATACTGGTCACATCACCTTGGAGGTGTCTACGGACAAGACTGGCTCTTCAGCCTAGAAATTGAGATAAGCACCACTCCCATAGTCGGACATGACTAGACTTAATGTCAGGGTAAACCTTTACCCTAATAACACAAATATTAATCAGAGGCAGTTTATTTTTTACTTTGCAGCAGGTTTCCAGCATTTCTGTTTCTAACATCTACTTACCTTTAAAGCTGTGCTGACAGTTTCTTCAGAAGCTGCTGGAAAGGCACTTTGGCTGGACACGACCTAAAAAAGAAATTAAGAGCAAAATATATCCAGATACCGAGGTTCTGGTGAAGCCACCTTTCAGTGACTGCCAGTATGTTTACATGGAGACAACCTGGATGTACTCCAAGTACCATCAAACCCTCCTTGCTGCATCTAATTCTGTAGGAGACCAAGCTTGAGTGCACATGAGTAATTCATTCCCTCTTGAATGCTGGACTGCAGTTCTCCTACAAATGATCTAGCCAGCAAAAACCTCCCAAGAAAACGAGATCCTCTACTTTTCTCTTCCTGCATAGAGCATTTTACTCAAGAAAAACCCTAACTCTTATTTCACGATAAAAATTATACAGTGGGTCAGCATCATATGGCAGGAGAAATATTTTTAATTAGTTTGATCTTCTGGGACCTTTGTGGTTTTTAAATGATGCACCAAAAATCCACCCCCAAGAAACATTTTATATTTTCTTATTTTATTGGAAAGTTATGAAGCCCACATTTTGACCAAAAAACCATCTGTTACTCCAAAACTATTTCTAACTTGCTCTGCATTTGCATTTCAGAATCATAGAATCATAGAATCAAAGAGTTGGAAGAGACCTCATGGGCCATCCAGTCCAACCCCCTGCCAAGAAGCAGGAATATTGCATTCAAATCACCCCTGACAGATGGCCATCCAGCCTCTGCTTAAAAGCTTCCAAAGAAGGAGCCTCCACCACACTCCGGGGCAGAGAGTTCACTGCTGAACGGCTCTCACAGTCAGGAAGTTCTTCCTCATGTTCAGATGGAATCTCCTCTCTTGTAGTTTGAAGCCATTGTTCCACGTCCTATTCTCCAAGGAAGCAGAAAACAAGCTTGCTCCCTCCTCCCTGTGGCTTCCTCTCACATATTTATACATGGCTATCATATCCCTTCAGCCTTCTCTTCTTCAGGCTAAACATGCCCAGCTCCTTAAGCCGCTCCTCATAGGGCTTGTTCTCCAGACCTTTTATCATTTTAGTCGCTCTCCTCTGGACACATTCCAGCTTGTCAATATCTCTCTTGAATTGTGGTGCCCAGAACTGGACACAATATTCCAGATGTGGTCTAACCAAAACAGAATAGAGGGGTAGCATTACTTCCCTAGATCTAGACACTATGCTCCTATTGATGCAGGCCAAAATCCCATTGGCTTTTTTTGCCACATCACATTGTTGGCTCATGTTTAACTTGTTGTCCACAAGGACTCCAAGATCTTTTTCACATACTGCTCTCGAGCCAGGCGTCCCCCATTCTGTATCTTTGCATTTCATTTTTTCTGCCAAAGTGGAGTATCTTGCATTTGTCACTGTTGAACTTCATTTTGTTAGTTTTGGCCCATCTCTCTAATCTGTCAAGATCATTTTGAATCCTGCTCCTGTCCTCTGGAGTATTGGCTATCCCTCCCAATTTGGTGTCGTCTGCAAACTTGATGATCCTGCCTTCTAACCCTTCATCTAAGTCATTAATAAAGATGTTGACCAGGACCGGGCCCAGGACGGAACCCTGTGGCACTCCGCTCGTCACTTCTTTCCAAGATGAAGAGGAAGCATTGGTGAGCACCCTCTGGGTTCGTCCATTTAACCAATTACAGATCCACCTCACCGTAGTTTTGCCTAGCCCACATTGGACTAGTTTGTTTGCCAGAAGGTCATGGGGGACCTTGTCGAAGGCCTTACTGAAATCCAGTACGCTACATCCACGGCATTCCCTGCATCTACCCAGCTTGTAACTCTATCGAAAAAAGAGATCAGATGAGTCTGGCATGACTTGTTTTTGATAAATCCATGTTGACTATTAGCAATGACCGCATTTGTTTCTAAGTGTTTGCAGACCACTTCCTTCACAATCTTTTCCAGAATCTTGCCTGGTATCGACGTGAGGCTGACCGGACGGTAGTTGTTTGGTCATCCTTTTTTCCCTTCTTGAAGATTGGGACCACATTGGCCCTCCTCCAATCTGCTGGAACTTCTCCCGTTCTCCAAGAACTCTCAAAGATGGTTGCCAATGGTTCCGAAATGACTTCCGCTAGTTCCTTCAATACTCTTGGGTGTAGTTATAGAAGAGTATTAGCAAGTTCTTTTTCCATTTTTTAAATACAGTTGGTAAGGTTTTAAATCAAAAATTGAGTCAAGCAACTGAAATGTGTAATTTCAAATGATTTCCAGTCTACAGCATTTAAGTCTGTCAATGATACAGAATTCATGATGACATAATATTGTGAAACAAAAAGCCCAGCTTTTGTCTCCAGTGCTCCAGATTTAAAATCCATGGCTTACTAAAGAGAAATCCAATAAATTTTAGACACTCAAGAAGGCTTGCCCCCGCCACCCAAAGAAACAACTAAGGATAAATGGCCAGCTGTCAAACTGGATAGAAATATAAAAAGGTACAGACAAGGGTGCCCACTATTTCTCCTCTTACTTATATGGATGTTAGAAGGACTAAATATTAAGATTAGGGAAGACAGACATATCAAAGGAGTGAAAATAAAATGGCAAGAATTTAAAGTAAAGCCATATGCGGATGACATGGTGGTCATTACAGAAGATCCTATAAAGAGTATACCAAATTTGATGAAAATAATTGGTAGATATGGAAGGGTGGCAGGTTTTAAAATAAACAAAGAGAAATCAATATTTTTAACTAAATAGCTGTTGTTTTCTTTCGAGATTTGATACATCTGTTTTGTATATTTATTAATATGTTTGGAACTGAATGTTTGCCATTTTTTGTTGTACACTAAGTCCCCTCTTGGAGAGAGGGCAGAATATAAATAAAGTCATCCTCCTCCTCCTCCTCCTCTTCTTCTTCCTCCTCCTCCTCCTCCTTCTTATTTTTCTTCTTCTTCTGAATGTTGCAGAGACTGGTATTCTTTTCCATTCTTCACAAAGACCCCATTGCTGGTGGGGATCAGAGGGATCAGAGAAGCATCTAGCTGTATCCTTGTGCAATCATGAGATCATGCTCCTTTCATCCAAAAAAGAGGAAGTAAAGATAATCCTTTGAAGGTTTCAGTAGATTATGTAATTATTCAGCATCTGGCTATGAGGACATATAATGTGTGTTGGGTTCTCGTAGTTATATACAGCATGATTGCATTGTGCACTGGGACCTACAGAGGACCATGTTGGAATTCAGCAGATGGAAGTGACATCCCGTATCTGGCTCCAGGGACACTTCATTGACATTCCCATTCTCCACCAGCCATGGAAGGCTCATTGGGGAGGAGTGGGTAGCTAAATGGTGGATCCAACGGGTGCATTTATTTATTTATTTTATTTACAGTATTTATATACCGCCTTTCTCACCCTGGGGGGACTCAAAGCGGCATGTAGAGAAGGCATGGGCAAACTTTTCTAGGTGAGAGCTGCAACCTGGGGCAGGCTGAGGCAGGTGGGCAGGGACGGGAAGAGAGGACAAAGGCGGTGATGGGGGGGGCAGTCGGCACAGGGGAGGTCGGTGCTTGGTGGGAGGGTCTTCTTTTCAGTCTAGGGATGTGACAGGCCACTGTGTCCCCAGAATGAGAGGAGAGCTGGAGGAAAGAAAGGCCACTGGTAAGAGCTTTCAGCAGTGGCCTGTCCTTTCCCCCAGCTCTCAGCCTAGAGATGCAGCGGCCTGCCGCGTTCCCAGGCTGAGAGGAGGAGGAGGAGACATGCCGTTTCCGAGAGCTCTCCAGAGAACTCTTGACAGCCACGTGTCTCTGCCTTGATCCTCCTCTCAGCCTGGGAACACACTGGGTTGCTGCATCCCCAGGCTGAAAGGACAGCTGGGGGAAGGACAGGCCGCTGCTGAGAGTAGACGAGGGCCAGAGGCAGGAGTCCAAGCGGCTGCATCTGGCCTGTGGGCCTGGTTTTGCCCATGCCCGGTGTAGAGAAAACATATAGTGTAGTTCTACATGCATAATTACTAGTATTATGCCCTTCAGGATCATACCTTATGGATTATACCTTATATGGATTATACCTTCCTTGAGCCATGCAACTTTATTTTCTTAAATAAATCCTTCCTTCCTATGTAAATTCACTTGTATTTTTTTTGTATGCTCAAAAGTTGGAATATGTTTCCGGCCCACCCAAGCTGGAGAGAAGAAAGGCTCCAGACAATCAGATGCAGTTTATGAGAAATATTTGTTCCTTTCATCCAAAAAAGTAGTAGTAAGAGAGCGAGAAGTGTCCATTTTAGGATGCTCAGGTAGTAGCAAAAGTGACTGCAAAAGGATAAGGGCCTCTCTTTTTTTACTCAAGGGCCTTAGATGAAGAGCAAGCCTTTATGCTACATACCACAGAACGGAATAAAACAGAGGTGATTTCCCTCTATAGTTTGTGATTTGATTGATGAGTCTGTAGTTTAAGGGTGTGGAAAACAGATATCCTATTGATATTTCTTTGGATATCAGCTCATGCCATTAATCAGCTGATCCACAAAGTGACCCTTTGTAGTTATTACACTACAAATACATACATATTTGTCCAGCTTCAATTTCTCAATCACCAGAACACAAAAAAGAGCACTTCATAGGAAAATAGGTGTTAATATGTCCAAAGGGGAGAGGAGTAGCGGTAGAAAAATATAAACACATATTAAATAGTTAAATGCAGCCCATTGGAAAATTAAGCTTCAACATTCAGTGACATGGTTGTACAGGTAGTTTTACACCTGTTCCCCAATTTGATTCAAGATTTAAGCAGAAGTATTCATGAATGCATATACTTCCTTGGCACTTACTTTTAGCACTGACTGGTGTAGCCTGTATAGTGAATTCACAACAGCCACATTTCTCCTTTGTCCTTCGGTTAATGGTCCAATCACCTGACTTGCATCTCCTTGTGTAGACAGCTGCAGTAACAAAATAAGGAAAACAGAAGATTTATTTTTAATTGTACTCAATCAAACATAAATGTTTGTCCCTTAGCCCGAAAGAAGATGAAAGGAAAAAATAGGATACATTTGATGATTTCCAGCAAAAGCAGCAGAATATTTTGTTCTATGGAGAATGATCTTGCATTCTGATCTTTAATGATGCTTTTCAGCTCACATTTTCTTAATACAGAATAATAATAATAATAATAATAATAATAATAATTCGACTTGTTATTTTGTGATACGAAATCCAGCGTATAGGTCTCGTTTGCTGTGACATACTGTGCTTTTGTGTCAATAATAATAATAATAATAATAATAATAATAATAATAATAACAATAATGCCACAAGTACCATCTGTCTGCGACAAAAGAACTGGTGGGATCACAAGCCTGAAAAAGTTACAGAAAATGAACACATCAAACTACTCCGGGACTTCCGAATTCAGATTGAGAGAGTTCTGGAGCACAATACACCTGACCTCACAATTGTGTTAAAAAATGAAGTATGGATTGTCGATGTTGCAATCCTAGGTGACAGCAGGATTGAAGAGAAACAACTGGAAAGCCCGACACGATATGAGGATTTAAAGATCGAACTGCAAAGGCTCTGACACAAACCAGTAAAGGTGGTCCCAGTGATCGGCATACTGGGTGTAGCGTCTAAAGACCTTGGCCTGCACTTAAACACAATTGGCACTGACAACATTACCATTTGCCAGCTGCAGAAGGCCACCTTACTGGGATCTGCACGCATTATTCATTGATACATCACACAGTCTGAGACAATTGGGAAGTGTCCAACGTGTGATCCAATACAACAGCCAGCAGAGTGATCTTGTCTGCTGTGGAGTCATCTTGTAGTGTTTCAAATAATAATAATAAGGAGGAGGAGGAGGATAAGGAGGAGGAAGAGGAGGATTTAAAGATCGAACTGCAAAAACTCTGGCACAAGCCAGTAAAGGTGGTCCCAGTGGTGATTGGCACACTGGGTGTAGTGTCTAAAGACCTTGGCCTGCACTTAATCATAATTGGAACTGACAAAATTACAATTTGGGAAGTGTCCAATACAACAGCCAGCAGAGTGATCTTGTCTGCTATGGACACATCTTTTTGTGTTTCTAATAATAATAATAATAATAATAATAATAATAATAATAATAATTTATTTATTTATTTATTTTATTTTTACCTCGCCATCATTTCCCTGGAGAGACTCAGGACAGTCCACAAAAGCACATAAATGCAATAACTGCATGACCAATATCTCAATAACAACAACAAACCACATAAAATCATAAAATCCCGCCAGTTAAAAATCAATAAAATGCAACAGTAGCTGCTGATATAAACAAATTGCAATGAAGTATCAGTCCATAAAGTGCGAGGTGAAATAAACACAAGTCCTCCAATATAATCAGTAAGGATTCCTAAACAAGGTGAAAGGCCTGTTTGAAGAGCCAAGTTTTCAAATTGGTTGGAAATTCTTGGAGAGTGGGAGCTAATCCCAAGAGCCATAATGCTCTACAAAGGTACACAAAACTACATCAGATTAACCCCCTCCACAAAAACGTTGACAACACTTTAAAAACCCATCAGAAATATGTGGCCACCTGCATCACATCACTCTGTGCTAAGTTCAAAAATACATTTCTTTCTGAAGCAATGTGGGGAATAGAATGAATCAATATTGCCTCCAGAGGAGACTTGTGTATGTTTAAATAAGATGGTTTCTGGCAGAATGTAATACCCACAGGAAAGGAAAGGTTTATATCAGTAGGCTTACACAAGCCTTTTGGAAAAGAGAATGAGTTTGAGACACCGAAAGGGAAGAGAAAGTAATCAGGAAACACAGAGATAGGTTTGCGAGCAGGAAGATCTTCTTTTGCTGGTGCCCCACAGGAAAAATACAGAAAGCAACCACACGTCTGATACATGATATTATTCGAGGCACTGGAATGAAAAAGAGCACCTGCTATATCCAGGGTGTGAACCAGACAATTCAAAAGGGTATTTCTACAGAAACTTACCCGATCAGCCCCAGAATGCCTTACAGAAAACAGAAGGAGCTCTGAAACTCTATTCGCATAGGTCAAAAATGGCCTCAAGTATTTCCAACCCTGGCAAATCATCTCAACCAACCACTAGCTTGCCAGTAAAAAAAAATGAAAGCAAATGATTGAGACAAAATCTAACTCAGCATGTTCTCTAGAAACATTAAAAAAGAACCTTAAAACCTGGCTCTTCCACTGCGCCTTTGGCGAGTAGATGCACAACATGACACTATTGCTCCGCTCAACGCTTCTGCCACTGGAGTACACACACCCCAAATGGGAAATTTAGTTCCACAACCCTGTGTGTTTTTATGAGCTCCCTGCAAATAATCTGCTCCTATTTTCATCTCATTAAAGTTTTTAATCATTTTATCCTGTACATGTGGCCCGCCCACTGTTATCGTGATTGTGTTTATTGGAATGTTATTGTGTTACTGTGTTTATACTTTTTTCCCTATGAAATTTTGATGATGTTGCTTGCTGTTTACGTTCTGGTTTTATTTTGGTGTAACATGTTGTCTGGGCTTGGCCCCATGTAAGCTGCTCCGAGTCCCCACTGGGGAGATGGTGGCGGGGTATAAGTAATAGTAATAATAATAATAATAATAATAATAATAATAATAATAATAATTTGTTATTATTATTATTATGTTGCAAGTGGGAACATTATTTATTTTTCTTTCAAGTATGCACTCCGCAATATATATCAGGTGAGGAATTCTTTCATGAAAAATCTAATCTGCACCTGTACCTTGGGAAGTGCCACGGTAATCCACACTCTGGTTACATCCCGTATAGACTACTGCAACGTGCTCTACGTGGGGCTGCCTTTGAAGACTGTCCGGAAGCTTTAACTGGTCCAACGGATGGCAGCCAGGTTGCTAACAAGAGTGGCTCTCAGGGAGCATACAACCCCCTGCTTTGCCAGCTCCACTGGCTGCCGGTTTGCTACCGGGCACAATTCAAAGTGCTGGCTTTGGCCTGTAAAGCCTTAAACAGATCTGGCCCAACTTACCTGTCTGAACTCATCTCCCCTTATGAACCATTGAGGACTTTAAGACTGTCTGGGGAGGCCCTGCTCTCAGTCCTGCCTTCATCACAAATACATCTGGCGGGGATGAGAGACAGGGCTTTCTCGGTGGTGGCCCCTCGGCTATGGAATGCCCTCCCTAGGAATATTAGATCCGTTTCTTCCCTGTTAACATTTAGGAAAAAGCTCAAGACATGGTTTTTCGAGCAAGCTTTTGCAAATACAGAGTATTATTTATTTATTTACTTAAAACATTTATATTCCGCCCTTCTCACCCCGAAGGGGACTCAGGGCGGAGCACAGCATGTACACTTGTCCGAACGCATCCACCCCTACATCCCACCTCGTAATCTAAGATCATCCGGGGAGCCCTGCTCTCGTTCCCGTCAACAGCACAGATGCATCTGGCGGGGATGAGAGACAGGGCCTTCTCAGCTATGGCCCCCGCCTATAGAACACACTCCCAAATGAGGTAAGATCTGTTCCCTCTCTCCTGGCTTTTAGATAAAAAATAAAATCATGGTTTTGGGACCAGGCCTTCGGGCAGTAGAAGTAAATGTATGCAGCTTTTCAGAAAGACAATGACTGGAACGGTGATTCAATGGATGAGACTGTTTTATTGTTTTAATGATTGTTTTATTGCTTGTGGATGCACTGTTCTTAACTTGATTTATGTTTAATTGTAGTGTATAATTGTAATTGTTTGTACTGGCATTGCATTTTGCCATTAATTATGAGTAAACCGCTTTGAGTTCCCCTCGGGGTGAGAAAAGTGGTATACAAATACTGTAAATAAATAAAAAAATACATGGCAAACATTCAATGCCGGGACACAAATTCACATGCAATACATAAAAATTAAAACAAAAAACATTTATCAAAATATTAAAATACACCATTTAAAACCATCCTAGTCACCCGCGTGAAATCTAATTGGCCTGGTCGTCTTTCCTATTGCAGCTTTATTGCCCTGTCCCAAAAGCTTGGTCCCACAGCCAAGTTTTTACCATCCTTCTAAGGGACAGGAGGGAGGGGGCCGACCTGATCTCACCAGGAAAGGAGTTCCATAGCCGGGGAGCAATCACCGAGAAGGCCCTGTTTCTCGTCCCCGCCAATCGTGCCTGGGACAATGGCGGGACGGCAAGCAGGGCCTCCCCGGAGGATCTTAATCTCCGCAATGGTTCATGTAGCAGATATAGGACAATGGAACAACCATACGATGGGACTGGACAATGTTTTAATGCGGATTTCTTAATGGCTTACATTTTATTGCTGTTGTTATGATTTTATGTATGTTAATGTTTTTAAATTGTACTTGTGCTTTGTGGCATTGAATTTTGCCTTGTAAACCGCCTCGAGTCGCCTGAGGGCTGAGAGGGGTGGTATACAAATACAGTAAACAAACAAACAAATAATCTCAGCAAGAGAAAGTTCTCTCTCAGCTCTTCACATCCAGTCTCATTTCCAAAATGTTTGTTTGGATTCAATAGCAAAAACACAAAACGTGATCCCTCCGGTGGGAACATTCTGGCAGAAACGTTCACACGCACATCTTTTTCCACCCCCAGTAATACTGAACTACTCTACTCCACATTCTTGCTTCAGAAGAAAATATTTTTTTAGAAGTAAGCACTGCATACTGCGATGCAGATGGCTCACAATAGTCAAGCCTGGAGCTTCAAAACCTCTGTCAGATGCATAAGGAGAGAAACCCACTCAACCATGAACAAGGCCCTACTATTTCCACCATCACAAGAGACTACAAGTAACCTTAACCTGTTACAAACCATTTTGAATTGTGATTTTATCCTTTAAACTCACTAAACATTTAATCTGATTAAAGCACTGCAGACAACGCATCAAAACAGAAATATACCGTAGGCCAATCTTTC